TTTTTGGTTTTTCTCCGGTACCGGGAACCGAACTCACGACCTTGCGCTTGCCAGGCAGGCGCTTTGCCGCTGAGCTAAATCCCCAGCCCCCAATTTGTTATTAATAAATATCAAGTATAAATTATTAAACTGGTCACATCACACAAAACTTCTAGGACTTACATACATCCTATACTAGTGTAAGATTTTTTGTTTTGTTTTGTTTTTGTTGTTTTTTGTGTTTGGGAGAGATGGCAGACATGATTGTGTCTGTCACCTGATGTAGAGTGTGCAAACAAAAATAAAATTTTGTCAAACAGTTCTGTTTATGGACCAAACTGTTTGCAAACAAAAATGTTTGTAAATCAGGATATTTTAATATAGACTATGCAAACTAAAAGGGAACCAACAAAAAAATTTAGGTTGACTAAAAAGTCTAAATATGGTCTCACTGTTTATAGTAACAGCTGTAAGTGGCATCCTACTTATATAAAATAAACATCCTAAAGACACTAGAGTGAGTTTGGGCAGTTATGTGAGACATGGAAAATGTCTTGCCTGGAATTAAACTGGAACCCAAGGCTGCTTTCCTCTGTATTTCACTTGGTCTTAGAAATTACAGACAAACTGCTCCAAACTGAAATACATGGTATCTTTTCTTCCATTTATACTACAGAGCTTCTTGAAGTACTGTTCTAAGAGTCTAGTGCAAATTTTGCCAAATAGGCTATAGCCAAAAGCCTCATGGAAAAAAATATTGTGTATAAGCAGAGTTAATTCAACTTTTCTAACACTATATAGCTTACCTTCGGTGAACCCAAGCTTCATAGGCAATACTTAATAGATAGTGCCCTCTGATACTTTTCTTATTCTTCTTAAACAAAGAAAACTCTCACAGTAATTTTCTACATAGATTACTTGATTCAACAGGGGCCCTGTGGTGGACTCTTATTAAAAATACCTGTTCATACCTAAAGCTCGTCCATTCTTGTGGGCATTTTTCCAAAGGACAGTTTATACTCACAGTGACAAAAAAAAAAGCAGCAATGTTGCCTACTATTTTAAATTTGCTAATACAGAAAGCAGGACTGTGCTCCGAACCGGTGTCTTAGCAGGCATTAGACTTAGGACTGCATAGGTGGCAGAGGGGGTCAGACAGTTGCTGCCCTACTTGAGGTATCTTGTGATCATGGTTGGCTGCGGGCTGCAGCCAGTGCCTCTGTGTCCTCCCATCTGCACTGCTCAGATAGGTGAGGGAAACCTCCCCTTGCACAAAGGCGGAGGCCAGATGGGTAAAGGCACAATGTGCTGGCCTTGTCGTGGACAAACCCAGGCCCCAGCAGACTATCCTGCCCCCGTCTCCGCCCTTCCACCTTCCCACCTCATGACTACCATGGTAGAAAACAGTGGGCTTTCAAAAGTGTTTTCAGATATAAGACGTGGTTTCATCTTTTATTTTCTCTCAAGCCTCTCCCCTTTGTTCCCTGCCCCAGACAAAATCTTAGACACCCTCACACATCAATGTGGCTGCTGCAGGCTGGGGAGCAGTGCTTCGGAGCCAGGCTCCTCTCCGTCCTCATCCCCCTGCCCCTCAGGCCCCCCAAGAACGCTGCAAGGCCGTGGGGACCTAGCAGACCAATGACCCCCAGGCCATCATCCCCTAGGCATATCTACTCTCTCCAACCTATGCTTATGCCCTCACAGTCCCCTCAGATCCCCAAGGCCAGGTCTCTCCAATGCTTCAGCAGGTCGTGCTCACTGACAACCTACGGGAGGCAGCGTTGGTGAGACTCACGCTACCCTTGGCTGCCGTCCTTCTACCACACTGACGGGAAGGACACGACAAGGGCAAGCCAGCGGAGTCCCTGCTTCCTACTGCTCATCACCCCTCCTGTGACCACAGCGCCCTGACGAGCAAACCAACAAAGCTGGACAGCCACCCTAACAGGAGCCCAATTCTCAGGAAACAGCTGGACTACCCATCACAAGCTTTGTGTTAGTATACAAGCATGAAAACATGTTTCAGCATAACTAGCTAAATTATTTCTTACTTCTAACAAGAAATTCTGGAGTCACGCAGGCTCATGAACTGCAGCAGCGCTTTGAGGTAAAGGAGGGCTTCCTGTCCTCTCTGACCGACCGACTGAGAGGCTGAGACAGGAAAGGGGACGAAGCGTGGGAAGATGAGCTCTGCTACCACTATGCTTACTCTCTGTGATGCTTCTGTGATGAAGGTTAAACACATCACCTTTCTCTTTGAAAAGACTGCCAATTCACATTTTTAAATACAGTATCTGTGCTTTCTGAAACCTTAACTGAAACCTTAAAAAGACTGAAATTAAACAATCTACCATGCTACTTCCTCCAATAAAATAAACCTGAAGGAAACTATAGGAGTACAGAAATGGACAGGAATTCTTTGGAAAAAGTTATCTGAATATGAGACAAATATATAAAGGTCAATAAGTAGTAAAGATTTCTTATAAAACTTATTAATATGCTATCACTGGTTCTTGTGCTAGAAATACACCTTTTAAAAATCTTCCGATAAGGGAATTCCTACTCCCTTAACACATTAAGTTACTTATCACATTATTTCCAATACTTTAGAAGTGCAACTGAAGTTATTTACATTTTTTTCATAGTTAACACTTTGACACAGCTTTCAAAATAACGTCTAGAAATGGAAAAAAAACAGTACCTTTTCCAATTCTCTTGGTATTCGCATACAAGTGTACACTCTTTCTCTTCTTTCTGTATACTTGGCCTCGTTATGTTCGAGGAAGTACCCTCTTGTTAGTTCAGCACTGAGGAACCTCAACAATGAAAGCTCTACAGAGAAAAAAATGACACAAAACAAAAAAAGCAGTGTTTATCAAGGAACTCACAGGCTGGCTGGGCCACAGGTGACACACTCATAAAACACAAACATAACAAAACAAAGTCACTCGTAATTCTGTGCCTAGACATAAACTGTGCACTGAGGACTGGCAAATGTGACTGAGGGAACGGCTGCTCTGTGTGGTATAAACGGAAAATGCTATGGGAAAATGGTAGCGAATGGTCCCTAAGAACCAGAAGACTCAGAGAAGCCCCAGTCTTCAAGGCGATATAGGGCCTGGGCGGGTAGAGACAGGAGGAAGAGAGAGCATCCACCAAGCAGAAATCAGATGGATATGTAGAGAGCCAAGGGAGCCAAGGCCCCGCGGGCTCCGCCGTAGGGCAGGACTACGCTGGGGAACCATACAAGCACAGGGCAACTGCTTCCTTCTCAGGGCCCCCTGGAGTTCCTGCCAAAGAGCATCGGCACAGCATTGCTCTAGGAAAGGCTCACCGACAGGTCTGTAATCCCAAGACATGCACAAGCAGAACCTCAGCCACATCAGGACAACTGTCCTGTCCAAGGATCCTCCCATTCGTCCCTGTGTCGTCTCAAGCAAATCCATCCACGGTCTCATCTCAGATGAGGAAGGTAAGACACACGCAGTGAAATAAATGCTCTCCACTCAGATACAACTAGGCCCCAGATCTCTGTAGCGTGTCATGCTGCCCTGACAGCACATCGTCTCTGACCTCTCAGCACCTCTTACTTCACATACACCTTCCCACTGCGACTCCTAGAGGAGGCCACGCTCTCCCAGCACTTCGGATGAGGAAGTCCTGTTCTCAGCTAGTCTTGTGGTCCTTCTACCAAGCATGTTACTGAAGTTGCTGACAGAAGGAAAGCTGACTTCACGTATGTGCATCTGCTCGGAGTGCATCTTCTCAGAGTGCAGGAGCCAAAGATTCCGTGGGAGGGAGAAAGTGTTCACAGCCAAAAACACCCTTGAATGGGCCTCAGAAAGACTTAGACATTAACGGTGGGTCTCAAGGGTAGGTCCGAAGCAGCTTCGCTCTTCCTTACACCTCTGAGCATCATCTTAAGAGCCTTGCTTACATTTAGGACTTATGTTCTATGTAAGTGTACGCACCTGCGTTTTTTTGGTTTTTGTTTTTTTCAGTACTGGAGACTAAACCCAGGGCCTCATGCATGCTAAGCCACCAATCTATTACTGAGCCACATCCCCAGCCCTTTTTATTTTTTGAGACAGAGTCTTGCCAAATTGCCTATGATGGCCTCAAATTTCCAATCCTCCTGCCTCGGTCTATCAAGAAGCTGGATTACAGGTGTGCACCACCTCACCTGGCACATGCACCTGCTTTTCAAAATACCAGACTCATAACCTGTTTGGACAGTTGGTGAGACCGGGAGACAGCCAGGGTTGACACAGAGGAGAGAAAAGCAGCCTCTCACATCCCCCCCCAGGTCAGGGAGGGCGGGATCACTGACACACTGTGTGTTTTGTGCTTTCCCTTTTCAGCACAGTAACAACTGCAGGTGCACAGCTTAAAGGTACACAAGGCGTGCACTCTACTGTTTATATGAGCAGATGTTCAGATTTAAAGGCCTTAGGATAGCCTAACCCACAAAGAGTAAAACTTTGGCTAAGACCTTTCTAGAACTAACAAGATCTGCTGCAAAGAGGAGTAAGAGACTTGTGAGCGGTAAACAAGAACAGCCTAGTGAAACACAGAAACTAGGCTTACACTACGTGCAGTTTTCCAACTAGAAAGAAAAGAATGTTTGGAATAGCTTCTATCTACAAACGTCAGTTCATTCAGTGTAGAAACTGAGAAGCAATAGGCCATTCAGAGGGCAGAAAAGATTCCACATACACAAATTTTACTGACCCTGGAGGACTCTCAGTCTTGAACCCAAAGGTCACTTCACCACCATCTCTAAGCTGTATCTGACCCTGCAGCTCCCCGTCCCTTGCTGGACCCCAAACCCTACTTCTCCTCAGAGGCACTCCTCTCTCTCTCACATGGCCAACTGTTGTGACCTAAGTCTGTTTGGTGGCTCCCCCTCAGGGGTTTGTTAGTTCAGTGTGCTGCTCACTACAGCCTAACAGAACACGGGTGACAGTAAAACAGCAGCCATCCTTGAATGCCTGTATTCTCTGATGTGTCCTGGGTTACATTTTCTTTGTTTTGCACACATATTTTCCTTGGACATCTGAGGCTAAAATCATCATCTAAATCCTGAAGTCATCATATCTTCATCTCTGATTCCTGAGCCACCCTTGCAGCTGCCTCCCGGGCATCCCCACCTGGATATCCCACAGGCACCTCATCACTTGAGAACTGGGCCAGGACCTTTCCCAGTAATCCTGTCGCCCTTCTGGCGTCAGACTTCAGAGCACAGCATCAACAGCAGTGTCATAAGGCTCTCTGCTAGATGGCCACTGTCAATTTTGATGATCACTTCTCTCCTCCTTTCACCAAGCCCTAGGATTCTTCTTCCTCAAACACCTGTTAACTATTCCTTTCTATACTCCACCTGACTTGGGGCATGGTTCCACAAATGCCTCCTAGCTACACACCCTCATTTCAGTCTTCCCTCCCTTCCATACTAACTCCGCCTGGCAGCCAGATCAGACGACTCTCCTCAAACACCAATGTCCTGAAGCGGCTCCCTTTACCTCCTGGAGAAGTCAGCTCCCCAGGGCTGGTGACAGCAGATTCCCTTCAACTTGGCCGAGGGCCATCTTTTCAGCTGTACCTCACACCTGAATCTCTAGCTCTCCATTCTATGGTTACGCTACTTTTCTTTCTTCCCAACATGTTAGGCAGTTCATACTGCTCCTTGGCTCAAGAATTCCCTTCCAGCTGTCCACAGCAAAACATGCTCAGACATTATCTTTTCTTACTCTCCCAGACAGATCCACCCTCAGCCCCGACAGCATCTCCACTGCCTATGCTCCTTTAGAGCAAGTCACACTCCTTTTCCTATGTGCTTTCTCTATCCACCTTTGCGTTCTCAGGCTCAGCATATAATAGGTGCTCAACAAATGTCTGGGAAAATATATGGAGTTGGGGAAGAGTAAAACCAGAGAAGAGTGTGGAAGAGAAAGAACAAAATTAGAAACTGAAAAGCTACAGACTAAATGGAAAGGGAGAACAATAAATAGTATTCACTTACAGTCCCCTTAGAACAAAGGCAGGCGGCAAAGAGAGCTGATATTCAGGAGAACTGAGGAAATGACAGAAAAGGAAATTGGACCCCATTTTCAGGTAGATGATTTGTTCCTTCTAATATTAAAATTTTTACTTTTTTCTGTTTCTCTGTAACACTGACTTTATTTAAAGATGATCTATATGAACACAAAAAGCAGTAATCAAAGTGTTCAACATTAGTACCACTGCTAAATAAAAACAGAATCAAAACTTAGAAGCGGCAACAGAAGAGAACACCAGATTCTCTAGAAGGGAAGAGCATACCCGCTGGTGACAGAACTGTCCTGAGACCGGAGAGCCCCCGGCAAGAGAAAAAGGCCCCAGTGCCTCACTCAGCGCAGCAAGGCTGAGGACACCAAAGCCCACAAAGGGCTGCAGTCACAGCCACTGAGGCCCCGGGTGAGGGGACAGGTGACCCTGACTGTCCACAGTAAGTGCACCCAATGCAGCTGAGTAGCCTGTGTGTGTCATCTGGGTTGGAGACACAGAAACTAGTTACCACACAATAGTTTTAAATTTACAAAAGCAAATTAAGTAAAAAGGCTTAGATGGTTTATGCCTTGGTTACAGTGGCATCTTTCATGGTGGGTGGTGCGGAGCTTTTACTATCACTGGTAGTTTGGTATGGTCCTTAAGACAAGTTTGACACCAACAACAAGGGCAAGGGGTTCCAGCAGGAGCTCTCGGGCAGTTTAGGCTTAGTTAGGTCCATCCCCCGGGGGGTTGCAGAGCTCAACTCACAGAGGGGAAGACAGCGTGCAGAGTGGTTCTTGCACACCTGCTTCCCGCCTGCCTTCCACACAGTTCGCTGAGCGACAGTGTTTGTCTGCAAGCACTGAACACCGCAGAGCATGACACTATGCCTGAACTGCATTTCACTGATTCCACAGGTGTTGTAATATTAACCAATCTGGCCCTGTTTAAGTGGCCCAGTGTTTACTCTTTCTGCAATCCTGTTTCTAAGGGTGAAAGGTAACATGACCAGTATATTTAACAAATTATACAACCTCAGTAACTAGTTTTCTATAAACATCTAATTATACAACATAAATAAAAGTGTTTTGACTAGACTAAATACAAAACAATACTGTGTTGGCATTCTTCCCCTAGAAATATAATACTTTCTATTACAAGCACCAATTTAGACGTTACATTGGAGAATGGTAAAGCATGAAATGATAAAAGCATATATGGAACACATGATCTCACAACCATGAAACCAGTTCTGTAGTTACACTCATTCTGCAGGTGAAGAAACCAAGGAACAGAGAGGCTGAAGTCTCCAAGGCCACCAGGAAGCAAGTGTAGAGCCCAAATTCAAAGCCCAGCTGTCTATCACGAAGAGCATGCTTTTTGCCATAGATTATGTCACTTATCACTGTCTCAGGAGTTTTTATTAAATAAGTCCTGGGCTCTTTCAGGAAAAGGAGAATTCCATCCCCCTTTCTCTGTGCTCCCATGGCAAGACATCCATGAAGCTGCGCTGTCACTCACTTTACGAGACCCTGAATGATCTGAGAGCAAGAACCACGCATCCCATCGTTCCCTTCCTGAGGTCCAGACCTGCGAGAGTCCTGGGTGTAAATGTTGTCTTCGCACACAAGTAACACCACACTGATGAGCCCCAGAAAGGCTGTAAAAGATACAGCACTGCTGGCCAGAAAGACACCCAAGCTTTCTGGTGTTGAATATCCGAACAGCTTTATTTTACCTCTATCTCACCAACTCCTGGAAAGGTGGCTCTGCGTAAGCAACTAGGAACCTTCCACTCTGAG